GGATCTCTGTGAGTTCCAGGCCAGCCTGGGCTACCAAGTGAGTTCCAGGAAAGGCGCAAAGCTACACAGAGAAACCCTGTCTCGAAAAACAAAAACAAAAACAAAAACCAATTATCATTAGCTGATGTGCCTTTCTTGTTTGGATTGGTTAATGACCAATTGTGATGATTAATTCCTTATATCCATTTCTGCCCTCAATCTCCTGATATATATATATAAAAAAAAACTATTGATGAGTGGGTATGCACCCTAAAGTTTTAACACAGAGCTTACTTATCCTTTTTCATATATAAAAGTTTGGATTTGTGGTTCTTTTAAAATTACCTTTTGAAATAAGTAATAAAGTAATTGATTCTTTCTTTGTAACTGTGAAATGCAGCCTGTCAGTGGAATATCTTGCTTGCTTACACTCTTTTAATCTACAAGTTGCTTGGGCATGAATGTATGTGGGTTCTTGGGGATAATTTGTTTTTCACCTGTAATACATAAAATGTTTAATCATGTAAAGGATATGGAAAACATGCTGATTCTTACTTGTATTCATTGCAATCATTCACTTGAACAACAGAATGTAACCGCATTGTAATTTCTATATTGTCTGAAAGATTCTAAAGAGAAAGAATATAGAAGAAGGAGAAGGAAAACATCAGGAAGAGAGAATAAGGAAGAATAAAGATAGAGTTAGAAGGAAAACATCAAGAGAGACAGAAGGGGTGTGTCTGGATAGACATAAGAAAAGAGAATAGAAAATACAAAAGAAGAATAAAGAAAAGGTCCAAAGAAAACCATCAAGAGAGTGTATGTCCAAGGCAAAGGATAACAAGGATACAATTTACAACCCCAGAGAACCTAGCAGCAGGAAGCTAGAGAATAGGCTTGGGAAATAAGGAGAAACTAAAAAAGCCATGTGGTGTCTAAGGCAGGGCACAGACACCCCATTACCATTCCCCCCTTGGAGAAGGTCAGCTGCTGTCACTGAGAATGTGTTCCAGCACCCTTGGAAATTTCCTCACTTGCTCCAGATTTGGGGCCCAAGTTGGAGCAGCCACTTACTCACTACAGGTGGTTTAGGAGCCATGGGTACCAGGACAGGGATGGGGAGGAAGTGGTCTGCACTTGGCTGTGCTGGGGAGAGGTCTTTTGCTCCACTCCTTGGTGTCTCTATAAATACCCTGAGGCAGAGACAGTCAGGGCCCGTTGGAATAGGTTCCAGGCCCTCTCCAGGCTATCCTGTATTTTCTGTTTATCTCCACAATCTAAATCCTTCTGTCTAATATTTCCTGCTGCTCACACTCAAGAAAACTCTGGGGAACTATGGGGTTGGTGGGGAAATGGCCCGCAGATGAAGCAGCTCTGTCATGTGAAACAGACCCATCACACCAGGGGCCCCAAGTATGGGTGACCTTGCTTAGAACAGGCAACTGCCAACCTTCAGTTTGCAAAAACTTGAGAGTTGAATGACTGAGCACTGAGCCGTGAGCACGCTGAGAAGATCATGAAGGCTGAATTCAGACTCAAACACCTGGCTGTTGGTGTTCAGCTTTGCTCAGACATTCTGGAGTTTTGTCCCCACACAGGCTTCAGCCAGCACTGGACAACTGGGGAATGCTTGCTAAAGGTGACCCTGATAAGCAGAGTGAATCTGCCCACCCTCTCTACCAGGAAGGATCCTCTGCATTGTGTCCTGGATATCATCAAAGGGTCTGGCTGGAGTCCACCACTCCAGTGGGAATAAGTCAGGAGGTTAGTAGCAAAGATATTTAGGAGAGAGGATAAAGCCAAAATGAGAACAGAATTGGAAAACCCTCTTGCAGATCTCTACTACCTAAAGACTCTTTTTTTGAGGTGGGGGGTGGTGAGACAGGGTCTCACTATGTAGCTTTTTCTGTCTTGGGACTCACTATATAGACTGAGCTGGCTTTAAACTCACAGAGATCTACCTGCCTCTGCCCCCCGGGTGCTGGGATTACAGGCATGTGCTACCATGCCCAGCCCTAAGAAATTCTTTATACTCAGGGGAAGAGCATGCCTTTGTGGGCACCAGGCCTATGCCCTCCCCTGTTGTGGGATATTTGTCACTGTGTATTGCTGTGATTGGTGTAATAGGAAGCTGAATGGCTAATAGCTAGGCAGGAGAGTCTAGGCAGGACTTCTTGGCAGAGAGAGGACTCTGGGAGGAAGGAAGGCTGAGTCACCAGCCAGATGCAGAGGAAGCAGAATGGACAGTATGGAATTGAGGTAAGAAGCCACATGGAAGATCGTAGATTAAAAAATAAGGGTTAATTTAAGTTATAAGAACTAGTTAGGAACAAGCCTAAGCTAAGGCCGAGCTTTCATATTTAATAATAAGTCTCTGTGTCATTATTTGTGAGCCGGCAGCACAAAGAAAAATCCAAGTTCACTCCCCAGCAGCCTAGTGTTTCCAAAGAGGTTTCAGAACCAAGGAGAGAGACTGTGCTTATCCCCATATCATGGCCCATGAACTGCCACGGCTGGCTACTTGCCACTTAAAAACTCTCAACTGCAGAAGTAACCAGACAGGACACTACTGAAATGGCCAGAAGGGAATTCAGCACAGGTCAGCTGGGAGAAGCCAGCTTGAGGGCAGACAGAGTGCTGCCTTGTGGGACAGGCTGTGCAGGGGTCTCAGCAGCCACTGTGGCCAGCAGAGTAACGATCTGCAGGAGGCAAGAAGGTAATTTGTTCCAGCACAACTAAGTAGCCAGTGTTGGTTCAAACTTCAGGAGTCTGGCCCCAAGTAGTTTATGTTAGGCATATTTAAGCACACTGCAATTTGGTGGACTTTCCTGGTGATAATTAACTCAACCCCATATGCACAATAAAGCTTAAGACATGGCTACATCAAAAATCTGTACACATGACATCTTTCATTAAAATGGATTCTATAGATGGACAAATTCACAGTAAGGGTCTGGGGGAGAATCTGGTGTGGTCTTGGCCACAAAGACAGCACAAAAGTTCACCCAGCTATTAACCATGTCTGCTTCCAGCCTTCTGGGTGGATGACAGGTTATGCATCCCTTCCTTTGAAGGAACGGCTCTGTTACTGTTCCTGGCTCCGCTGGAGTGCTTCTCTGTGAGCACAAGGGCCTCTGTGCCTCCTGCAGGCTGTGCTCTGCACCTGAACTGAGTTCGCTGCCTCACAGAAGGGCCTGTGGAGCTAGTGGTTAGGTGGCCAG